CTTTCAGAGTCCCTTCTATAGGCATGTGAGGTCACTTGGGCAGCTGTGGCTGGCCAGTATCTGGCTCCCAGCAAGAACCCAAGCAGAGTTAAGACCCCAAAGAGCCCAGGCAGGGTTCTTTGAAGCCACCCAAAAGTTCCTATATTAGTACAGTGAAAAGGGGGGGATCTTCTAGTCAACCTTCCCCCTTCCCAATCCTGCAGATCCAAGCCAAGACACCTGATCACTTAACTGTACCCCCAGCCCTTTAAATATGCTTCATTCTGAGACAGGGTCTTCTTAGTGGAAGGTCTCAGGGTCTCAAAACTGAGATCCTTCTACCTTAGCCTCCCCAGTGCCTGGGTTACAGTCAGGCAGCATCATGCCCAGCTAACCCAAAGCCCCCAAAGTGTGTTTTCTGTGGGCTCACATGCACCCTGAGCTTGAGACAGCTTGGTTCCCCACCCACCCAGAACCATCTCCTGCCGCAGAGGCCAGGTCCTGCCCTGGATCTCTGGCTGTTTTCCCAAATGTGTCTCCCAGAAGAAAGAGTCCTGGATCGGCTGTTGCTTCCAGGCTGGGTTCCTTTCTGACAGTGGAATATCGTCTACACCGGACTTCTCCAGGAGCAAGGGACATTGTGTGAGAAAGTTCACAGTGAACACCTGCACAGAACTTGGCCCATGGACCTCTCACCCTCCTGAGTTCAGCTCAGCATCAGTGTGGGAATCATCTCTGTAGCAACAGAGGTCACCTGGCACATTGCTAAGAGGAGAGAATGCAGTATGCCATGGAGAGTAGCAAGCAGAGTGAGGGTCCACACGGAGCTGAGGGCTAGGACTGGAAAACACACAGCCAGAGGCAGAGAGGGGACCTGGGGTGCAGGGTACTCACATAATGTTGGTCCTAAACTCCAACTTATTGCGTTTGTTTCTGGCCAACATGAAGGGAGGTATTGCATGGGTCTTTGTCTCATCAGGAATCAGCATGTCTCCTGCCCAGCGTACCACATACCAGGTTCCTTCCACCTGGGAGAGGGAAGCATCCCTGAGCAGGGCTACAGGGGGAGGGGAGCCAGGAAAGGGAACCCAGGCTGGAGCTGAAGGAGGAGCAGACGCAGCATCAGGGCTTGATTCAGAGTCTCGGTGCAGGTGGGATGAGGGCTGAAACCCCGGAGTGGGGTCCTTGCCACAGCACAGCCCATAGCCACCACCAGCATGCCGAGGCAGGTCAGAGCACAGCCCTTTGTGGATATCTCTCCTACACAGGAGCCCTCTGTGGTCCACTGAGAAAGATGAGAGGTCACCAAAGATTGCATCAAATCCTCATCTTCAGGGTATGAGACAGGAGGACAGGGCCTCAGAAGCAGTGAATGGAGTTTAGGAATTGATAGAGCAGGGTGTTCAGCCCCACCGAGGGCCCCCTAAGTGCTCAACTTCTATAATGTGACCAGGCCGATCTGCAACTCCTTCCCTTGCAGGTGCCAGGTCCTCAAAGGATGCGACTCATCAATGTTCTCCCAGCAACAGTTAGTGCTCACCTGTCCCCACCGGCACTCAACAGTCATAGAGCCTTGATCACAGGACCCCCACACCAGCTCCGGCACCTTGTTCCCAGCTCCTGGGGTCCAAACACACTTGACCTCATTTTTCTCCTGCACCCAAGGACCTCAGGGCCACAGATGGGGCCCAGGATACTTGGCACCAGTCCCTTGTTGAGAGGGATTCAGACCAGGGATTCGTATTGTAAAAGGCAGAGGCAGAAGCTGGGGTCCCCAAGCTCAAGTGCCAAGAGCTAGACCAGCAGCTGCTCAGCACTAGGAAAGGTAAAGGAGAACTTGGGGTCACGATGAGCAGGTTCTAGGGTGAGGATGAAAGAGCCAGGGACTGGGCTTGTTACTGGAATGAGCCTGGGCTGCTGGACACCACCCTTGATCTTGTTTGGGATCTGGTCAGTTATCTTCTAGGAGGAGGACATCAAAGATAAAGAAAAGTTGCAACCCTGGAGTTTATGTGTCATCCTCCCTGAGGTCTGAAATCATGGCATAAAAGACACCAGAATTTCTTGAAGTTCTATTTTCCTGGACAACCCATGATTTTGTGGAGATGGTCATGGATGAGCCTTTCACTTGGAAGTGAAAGCTTGAAGAGGATACATCTGGACAAATTTAAGAAGTTTCTGTGGGGTCCACAGTGGACAGTGAAGAAGCAGGTTCCTGCACCTCAGGGGTGGCAGCCCAGGCAGTGACAGTCGGGGTTCCTCCCCTAGCCAGTGCCCAGCCTCGGTGCACCCTCTCAGAAGGCAGGAAGATGGTGCACTGTCCCTTCAGGACCCATTCATCCCTGCAACATCCTTTGAGAGCCTCGACTGACCCCAGTTCCCACCGCAGCCCTCCCCAGGGATGTCACCTCCTTGGAGTCAGCAGGAATCAGCAGAGGTGACACAGCTTGCACTGCAGAGAAAAGGCTCAGCCCCGCGGCCAGCAGGAGCAGCTGCATGGTCCCCAGGTCAGCTCTGTGTTCCCAGCCAGCCCTGCTGATGCCCTTTTATCACACACCGGGTGGCCTGGGGACCCTGCCCTCCCACCCCTGCATGAAGGCTCTGCCATCTGCTCTGCAGGGCAACTGCCCTGTTTTGTTTGGACGCTGTGAATGGACAGAGGTAATCCGTGTAATTAGCCATCATGACACTGTCCTTGGATACATCCCGAGGAAGGAAGCATTGTCCAAGGGAGGACAGGAAGGGAGCAGGAAGTGCCCGCCCCTAGGGTCCGCAGCCAGGAAGATGACAAGAGCTGCTTGTGCAGGAAAGGTACCCCAAGGCCTACATCCTGGTCCTTTCCACACTGAGCTGCTCTTTCCCCTCCAACACCTTGGCTCCTGTGTCAAGACCTCACTGGCTCTCTGTCCCTTCCCCTGCCCCAACAGCCTGCCCACTTACTCAGCCCAAATCTACCTCTTCCCAGAGCTGTCCCCTTCCCTCCTTCCAAGTTCCAGGAAGCCTGAGAGGACAGGACACTGACTGAAGACAGCTCTCCAGTCCCACCTCTCTGCCTTCCCCTCAGCTCCCTGACACTGCCCCACAAGATAATGGCATCATTTTGCTCCTGTGTATATGTGTGTGTGCCTGTGCACACACGTGTTCATCTGCACATGCGTGCATGTAACTCATACCTGTGTGTGCACATGAATGTGCAGCTCATGTGTTTTTGGTGTGTCTGTGTGTGCACATCTCTATGTACACCTGCAACCTTCCCTAGACCCCACTGTGGACTCTGATCTGGGTGCAGTTGCATTGCATTCTTTGTCCCTCTTCCTTTTGTGACTGTCCCAGCTCTATATCTATGCATTAAAGATGGGCAGCTCCTGCCCTTCGGTTTCACAGGTAATACATGGGCAGGCACACTGTTATGGTTTGTGTCTAGATGCCCCCAAATCTTCATGCAGTCTTAGGTTTTTTGGAGCTGAATCTAGAGTTTGTGATTGACTTAAGGTCCAATGCTGGGATTAAGGGTATGAGTGCTACACACAACCTAAGTGGTTTACATAGAATATAAGGAATAGAAAGATGTTTGCCTCTCTCCTTCACCCCCTGTTGCTTTGATATCTTCCACTGTCATGAACAGTTGCCCTTCTGCCACGCCACCCTGCTTTGGAGCCAGCTGATTATGGACTGAAACCTCTACAAACTGTAAGCTAAATACACCTTTCCTCCCTTAACCCTGGGTTTGGGGTATTTTGTCTCAGCAACAAGAAAAAAGTAACTAAAATACACAGCTGTGACGTCCAGGAAGCAAAGAATAGAATGATCGCCAGTGAGTTGGTGGGGAAACCAGGGAGGCCCTGAGAGGCACAATGACAGGATCATATGCCTATAAGAAAGAGAGGCTGGGTCTGAACCCAGATTTGACTCCCTAAAGTTGGGGCTCAGGCTGTGGCTGCACCCATTCTGCCCAGAGATGTCAGGGAAGGATGAACTGGTGTCACTGTGTCCAGTTGTGTACCCGGCATGGCGGGGGTGACAGTCAGCAGCCCAGGAGGCCTATGGGGAGGATTTGTGTGAGGAAGAGGCTCAAGTGCCAGGATTCCAGGAAGAAACCTCACTTCCTCGATGATGGGCCAAACAGAACTTGGAACTCTACCGGCTGACAGCACCTTCCAGCATCCAGCCAGCTCACTTGTCTGGATACACAAGAATGAGCAGGGTGTTCTCTTGTTATGCCAACTTGCTGAGGCTCAGTCTCCAGGACAGCAAGGAGCGCGGGCCATGTCTGGAGAGCCTGGGTCAGCTGCTTCAGAGGTTTCAGTCCACTGCTTCTGATCACTATCCCAGCAGAGTCCCAGTGTGACCCAGAGCAGCCCAGGCAGGTCAGCCCTCAATCTGACCTCTTCCAGATAGCCCCTCCCACCTCCAGTGTGTTTGTGTGTGTGTGTGTGTGTGTGTGTGTGTGTGTGTTTCCTGTGCTGTTTCACTTTGGAGTATGGTCATATCATTTTGCCCTTTCCTTATTCAAACTCTCCCTTTTGCTTTCCACCTCAGGGTAAAACTGAGTCAGTCTGGACCCCGCTTGAGCCCCACAGGTCAGGACCTTGGAGGAGGCAGGTGAGCCAGAGACAATGATGGCACCTGTCTCCTCCTGTCTCCTCCTTCCTCCCCAACTTCCTGTGCACCAACCAAAGACTCACCACCCCTGCAGGTGCTCAAACGGCAAACACCCACCTCCAAGGCTGGGGCACTCACTTCCTAGCTGGTCCTCAAAAGCCTTGCACCTCTGTGGAAACCGGGGTGCTTAAAGGGACCTTCTTGCCAGGAACAAGAGGCCTGAGCCCTGGAAGTACTTGCCCAGCACTAGCCCTGTGCAGTAAGCTGCCCAGAGCAGTGGGCTGGCAGCCCTGTCCAGATGCCCCCTGGAGCCCCAAGCAGAGAACGAGGTGCTGTGAGCAGGTACCTAGGAGGGGACTAATTGGTTCTAATGGAATTCCTAGTTTTAGGAATCCTAGTTTTTTGAGGAATCTCCACGCTAATTTCCATATTTTATTTTATGTGGCCAAATCAAATTATTTTTGATACTCTTGCTTGGATGTCTCTAATACATGCAAAAACTATATTTTTATGGTTTTCTACATCCTTTTTGGATTCCATATGGAAATGATATACATTCACACACTTCAACGGTATGGTGCAATTTTCCCCAAATCCCTGTTTCACTGAACTGTGGGTCACTTCTTCTCATTGTTTGATGTTGAGAAATACAATTATTCTCATCATATTCACCAAGGTGCTTACTACCAAAGGACCAAACACTACAAGTGGCAACACCGGAAGAAAGTGAAGTTTCACCCTGGGGAAGTTAAAGGAGTGACCTTAGCATCAAAGGCTAAAAGGAGGTGACCAAGACCAGGTAGGTAACATGACATCTCCAGCCTTGCTTTTTCCCTCAAGACTCCCGACTCTGGATCTCCTCTGGCTACGTATTAATCTCAGGACTTCTCTCTGTTTCTCATCTGTTGCTGTGTGAAGGATGAATTCTGCACTCCCTCTTTCCCACTGGACAGGGTCGGTCAGTGGCTCATTGTCTGCCTCAGGGCTGTCGTCACTCTAATCTTCCAGTATTTGCGTCCTTTGGTTGATCCCAAGTCACCAATATTGCTGACCAGCTTTGCAGCGTGCACGCTCATGATGCTCTGCTTGCTCCTGAGCGCCCTCTGTCCGTATACTCAGGGACGTGGCAAATGGACAAGCAGAGATGTATTCCTGACCACCTTGGCAGATGAGCAAAAGCAAACAGACCAGTGGAACAGGCAACAAGGGGAAGTCAATCAATCCACTGGATTCAGCACCAGTGCTTACCAAACCAGCCCCCTCAGAAAACCACAGGTAAACCAGTAGGCTTCTCAGCACAGAAGGTGCAGAGCTGTGTCTTCTGCAGCCTAAACTCACCACTGCTTAAATGCCTTGGGGCACCGAGCTGTGACGAGCTCTCCCCTTCTGTAACTTGCTCCTGCTTTCCACACCCAAACGTGTTCAGTGACTTCTGATTCCCAGAGTAGCTTGTTTTAATAAATCCTTTCTCAAAATGTTTCCTCATTATACCACTCCCAGATATGACAGGCACTGTGGTGTATTTGTTTTCCAAATCTAGCTTGTCTTGTAACATGCGTCACTTTCAGAGTAAATCCCCACGTGGTGTTTGCAGCTTACTATAACCATGGGATTTCCCAGGCTGGCACTGCTGGCCCACTCCTGTGCTGGTGGAATCAGGTCCCGCCAGGGTTAGTACTGCAGACTGCTTCACTCTTTCCTCCATGTTGTCTTCTGTTTGTTTGACTGTTTTTAAAACAAGACCTTGCTATGTACTTCGGGCTGGCCTTGAACTCACTATGCAGCCTAGGCTGGTCTCACACTCACGGCAATCCTCCTGCCTCAGCTTCCTGAGTGCTGGGATTACAGGCCTGCACCGTTATGCCCTGTATGTTGCCTTTTATTTCTCCATAACTTCTGGCTTCCTGTCAGCTTCCTGTCAGCTCTTTCTGGATTCCTGAAGCTCCTCTCTTCTTCCTTGCTAGGTAGTTATTTTTCAGGTGTCTCAATTCCAGGTCACAGAGTAGCTGTGATTTTCTGATGACTTCTATCTATTCCACCACCTGGTAATCCCCAAACTCAGCCCTTTTTTAAATTTTAAAACAAATTCTTGCTAAATTGGTAAACTGCCCAGGCTGGGCTCAAACTTCTGATTCTCCCATCTCAGTCTCCCAAGGAGCTGGTGTTACAGGTACGTACCACCAAATGCAGGTTTTTGCTCTACTTAAGATATTTAAAGCCACGATGATTTTCTTAAAAGCTTGATAAACTTTTCCACAAGGGTTAGAGGAGGATCATAAATGACAAAGCTGAATCTAGCATAATTTTACACATGTGCTCGTGGGAACTGTTCCAGATGTAAGCCAGATGGGGGTCCCAGTTCTGTTCAGCTCATCTCACCAGCGACCCCGGGGTTCGCACTGAACCTTGGTTTTCCTGTCTGTTCAGTGAGGGCTATGGTCAGCTCAGCCCATTACCTGCCAAATGGCTCGAGGGACTCTTGTTCCACGCTGAGCCACCTGCCAGCTGGTCACGGAGGTCCTTTCTCAGATGGGCCCTGCTGCTGGCCGGGCCCCAGACGATCAGCTATTTGAGGAGGAGCAAGGGAGGTCCAGGACCAGAGCACACTGTGGGTGAAGGGTTTGGCACAGGAAGGAACAGGTCACGTGCCCTGGGCCCTGGGCCCACAATGGGACCCCTACAACCTACTCCAAAGAGAGGCTCATTTTGTATGGACCCTGTTCCCGGGTTTCCTTCATTCTCTCATCCTTCCATTCATTCACCCATGCAGCCAGTATGCCCTGGCCCTGCCCCGTGGCTTCTACAGGGAGCTGGACACACCAGGGTCCTGGCCCACGGAGAGATCACACACATAGTCTGATGCCCTCAGATTAGCCAGGAATCGGCCACTTCATTAACAATAAGTCTATATTGGAAAGAAACAAGGGAGAAAAGTCATGTTTGGCATTTCATCTTAAAATATAAAATAAAAATATGAGGAATAAATGTACCCTGCCAGGTGGAGTGGTGCATGTCTATAATCCCAGTATTCAAGAGATTGAGGCAGGAGGAATGCTGCAAGCTCAAGGCCAACCTGGGCTACACAGCCGGACCTTGTCTCAAAACACTGAATTAATTTAAATGCATCTTGTATTTAACAAAATGTGAGTTATAATTCTAAGTATACAAGGATTGCTAGAAACAAAGAAAGAAATTCAGTGTTGGCTGAGTACTTGCCACATGATTTTTATGATTAAATTAGAACATTTCAGCAAAACTCTTCCTGGGTCTCCTCAATTTTCCTAAGAGCTCTCTAACCCTGATATTAAGTTGTTCCACTAGGAAACTTCCATCGTGTGACCTTTGTCTAGTCTCTCCTGTGACTGTCACGCGACCTGGTGTCTCTTGGCGGTGTCCTTTGGGAGCCCTCGTGTATCCCTCAGCTCCGTGCACCCTTTTTCCTTACACAGCGAGCATTTGTATCTGGCAGTGGTTTGCATCTTGATGCTACATTGCTCTCCCTGACCCTGTGCCAGGCCTCCTTTCCTGACATCCTGGGGGTGGCCTTTTGTCCCTGTTTGACAGAGGAGGATACTCAGGTACAGAAGGCCCAGAGGCCTGGTGAAATCCCTCAGCAGTGTGGAGCCTTGGCAGATCTGGGGCCCTCCAGGCAGACAAGGACTCAGCAATAATTCGTCTGTTGCCAGTGAGCCTGAGAACCCAGAGGGGATCTATAGAAAGGTGCAATGGGAGGAGGAGACCCGGGAGGACCCTGGAAGAGCAATGCCTGTGATGAACGCCTGGGTTCAACCACTCCAAAGTCCTCATCCCATCTGGATGAGCTCTGTCCATGCAGGTGGAGGGTCATCCCCAGAGCACTGACTCATTACACTTGGGGTGCTGCTGCTGCTTTCAGGCTATTAAACACCGGGGGTACCTGCAACAGCCTGCAGAGAGGAGGGACAGAGGCTCTGATCCAGAGGGCTCTGATGCCTGCAGGTGATGAGCTTCCCAAGCTGCAGGTGGACCTAAGGAAGGGCCAAGAAGATGTGTCTGTCATTGGCTGCATGTTTATTCCAGGTCTCCCAAATTCAAGACAGGACCATTTGCACTTTGCTTGCCACCCTCTCTTCTAAAACCAGCGGCTCCTACCTGCTTAGCCCTACAGCTTGAGGCCTGCTCTACACGTATGAGAGTCCATTCTGCCCAGGAGGAGGTGGCCATCCTGTGTTTCTCTATGTATAAACAAGGAACCAGAGCACAGGAAAGAGAGATGCCATCAAAGTTGCTCAGCTAGGAGCAGTACGGCTGCGGTCCTCCCACCCCAGCTCAGTCTCCTGAGACACAGGGCCTTGAAGAGATGCTCCAAGAGCTCTGTACAGCAGAAACCCCAGCTGGCAGCTGGTGATCACCTCCGCTCTGCCACCCTGGTCTGCAGGAGCCAGGCTAGTTCCGTCAGGAGGACACTTAGCACCTGAGAGGTAACCCGAGAGCCTGGGCAAGCATGGGCAAGCTGGCTGGGTAGAGTCACAGCCTGGCACAGCTTCCCTGGGGAGAAGGGTGAAGTCATCTACCAGCTGTCAGCAGTGTGCACCAAGGACTTGAGGGACATTATGGCTTGTATCTAGATGTCCCTCCAAAGCCTCATGTGCTCACAGGTAGGGCTTTTCAAAGGTAGCTGGATCTAGGGTGTGTGATGCCGAGATTAAGACTGTATAATAACTAAGAGGGTTTAGCACAGGTCTGGATATGGCTAATGCTAGCCCCACCCTAGGTGGGTAGTACCAACCAATAGGTTTACAGCCCTGGTGAGATATAAAGGGAGAGAGGGGAGGCAGCCTGGCTGCAGCTGCCTGCTTCCTCTGCCATGAACTGTCTCTCACCTGCAATGCCCCTCTGCCTGGCCACTCTGTCTTAGAGCCAGGTGTCAGGCCTGCTCTATACCTAGGAGAGTGCATTCTGCCCAGGAGGAGGTGGTCGGGCTGTATTCCTCTCTGTATAGATGAGAACCTGAAACACAGGAAAGAGAGATGCCATCAAAGTTGCTCAGCAAGGGAGCGGCCAGGCCCTCTGCCAGGCCACTCTGTCTTAGAGCCAGGTGGCTATGGACCGAAAACGCTTTGGGCCTGCACTTGGATGGAAAAGATAAAACCTATTTCTCACAGGTTGCATCTAACATCAGTGAGCAAAATCAGACTTTTAAAACCCTGGGCACATGGACTAAAACTCAAATTGCCCACCAGCGGGGGCAAACATCAAATCTAGGTCTCTAATGAATTTCAGAGACACCTGCTTGTCACCCAGGAGGACGCTGGCTCTTGCTCCAAACAGAAGGGAAAGATGTTCATGGTGGGCTGCAGGACCCACCTCCACCCTGCCAAGCACCCAGTACCAGCTCCATGGCTGAGAAGGTCTTCCCTCCCACTGTGTGTGAAAAGCCTGGGGTCCTGCCACCCCTGCTCCTCCAAGGGCTCCAGGCTAATGTAGACATAGAGTCCTGGAAAAGCTGTGGGGTATTCTCTGGCATCTCAGAGAGAGGTCGTAGCTGGGAACCAATTGTGTAGGGTCTGTACCTGGTGATGAGCCCAAGAGCTGGGCTTGCCGTCAAGGGCTCCCCGTGCAGCTCTGCCCTAGAAGGCTGCCCTAGAAGGCTGGCCCTAGCCAGCTCCCTGAAAGGGCGTAGCCCAGTGCAGTGCCCTCTGAACCAATAAGGGACCAACCACCTTGACAGGGGACTAGGAGAAGACAACAAAGTAAGCCCAGGTGCAGTAAACTATTCTCCTTTGTAACACGGCAAGTGGCTTTTCTGCCTTTGTGGTTTTTCAACAAGCCTGATGAAACCCGGCTAAAACCACAGGCCCAGAAAGCTTGCACAAGATATTGGAGCTGTTAGCAAGAAAACAATCTGAATAAACCCTCTAGCTTCTCAGCTGACCTAAAAGATGACTAATTTTGGAGGTCACACGGCTGGGTAACACAGTCTTACTTCCCCCCAAGCACAGCTGGAGACACACAAGGCATGGGGTAACAGTTGCCTAGGTCACTTCGCAGGGACCCAAAGGTTTTCTTTGCCGGAAACACTGAGTCTTCACTGCGCCTAGAGGTGACTCATGGGCCAGCAGAATGAGATGAAGTCTTGGCACCTCCATCCTCATCTTACGCCTCTCTCCCCTGGGTGAGACTCCGCTCAGCTTTGGTGAGGTTCTACCCAGCTCTGCAGGCGGGAGTGTCAGCTCCCTGTTTGAGTGAGAGGTGGTCTTCTTCTACCCACCCTTGTACGTTTTCCAGCAGCTGCAAAAGTTTAACACCAGAACTCCTGCCTCACCTGAATGATCAGACAATCGGACGCAGGAGCTGAGACATCTTGTACATAATGATGGGACAGGGTGACAATGATGGTGATCATACAGACAAAGAGTCATCTTTTGCAACCATGCCCCTTGCCGGTAGGGGCAACTGTTGGACTTCAGTGCACGCTAACTTATCGCTAAGAGCCTGGCTTTCCCCTTCTTCTGGGAGCTGCCTGATCTACTTTTCTTGATCAGTGCTGGCTCCCTTCAGCTGATGCCTCCAATTAAAGTCTTACCTGTGTATATGCTTATAGTACTTGGCTAACTGTCACTTCCATCACTTCTAAGTCAAAAAGTGCTATCCAATAACACATCCACGCACCCAAGCCTCAGCCTCCAGGGCTGCCAGAAGGTCAAGATCAACTTCACCATGGAACCCAGGGAGGGGTCTCCCCATGTGTCCCTTCTACAGATGCAAACCTGAGGACAAGAAGGTGTCAGCTGCACGGGGATATCAGCCAACATGACCGTTCACACCAACTGTCTCAGTCAGCTCTCCATTACTGTATCAGAGACCTGAGATGATCAACTTATAAAGAGAATAGGTTTATCAGGGGTCACACTTTAGGGGGTTGCAGCCCACAGAGTCGCCCCTTTGCTCTGGGGTCTGTCACCAGGCAGCATATCGTGACGGAGACTGATGGTAGAGGAAACTTATTCACCCCATAACTGAATGCAAAAGAGACAGTGGGAGGAGAAAGCTTTGCACATCCCCTATAATGGCCCAACCCCAGTGACCAGAGACCTCCCCTTATATATGTCTCTCATGTTCCCAGCACCTCCCAACAGCATCGCACCAAGGCGCACGCTTTCAACACCCAGCCTTCTGGGGCTGCTTCTCCAAACTACAGTGCCTCAGAACCCACAGCCCCTCCACCACGGCCCTTCTCTGGTTGTCCCTGCCCGTCTGCCAACCTCTCCCACCTGACCTGGGCCCATGGGCCCATGCACCTGTGACCCGCACTCCTGCAGTAAGCCCGGGATGGGGGGGAGTCAGCAGCATATGACAGGGCCCTCACCCACTCACCGCTGTACCTCCAAATCTCCATGGCAGAGCCTGGCACACAGAAGGCATTTCATGCTTATCAGATAAGTGGATAAAGCAATCAAAGTGATCCTCCTAATGACCTAGAATGCTGCTACTTGGGGATGAGAAACCAAAGACAAGAAGAAGTCTCGGGTCTGCGTGTTCATTTGCTCATGCCTGTGTACCGCTCCCCGATGTGTGTGGGCTCCTGGAACCCAGCGTTGCCCCTGCCAGAGAGCTCACAGCCTAACCGGTGGGACAGCACGGCACCCACAACCGGAAATAGGGGCCTTGATCTGGGCCTTTGCTTTGGCAATCTGCCTGCTCCTTGAAAGAAATTAAAAACTGAGTAAGATATTTTGAAAAGGTATAAACACGCCTTCACACTACACACACACACACACACACACACAGGCAGAGGGACAGAGAGCAATGCGTAAAGATCCTTATCCCATGCTTGGATCACTTTGTCCTTTTGGGTCCTTCTGCGGGTTCCCTGGGACTCCTGGAGCTGTGCCCAGAGTCCCTGGTTCAGACCAGTTCTTCGCTCAAATGTCTGCACACAGCTCCTGCCCTTGGCTTGCTCTTCTGTTGTTATACTTGTAAGTCACGGGTTTCCTTATCTTCCCTCGACTTTTCATCAGTCCCCTCTGGGCCAGTATAGTCATTAAGCTGGGAACAGAGATAAGAGAGGACTTGGCCAGCAGGGAGGCCAGCAGGGAGGCAGCTAAGCGTGCCCTGTCTTGCACCTCTTTAATAACGGTTACCAGGGTCCAAAAAGCCCAGTGAGGAAGAAGAACGGAGAGCTGCCCTAAACACTGGTCATTCAGCCAGCAATCACCAGTCCCCAAGCCAGTGCCCGAGGACTGAGGTAACAGGCCCTGCCCTACAGGAAACCTGTGGTCCCCAAGGAAACAAGAACACGGATGACCACGTCCCTGAGGCAACCGGGAGGCTGTGCCCAGGCACTGGGAAATCAGATTTGTGACTCCAAGGACTGCGGCAAACCCGAGCAAACCCAAAACTTTCACAAAGCATTGTTGTGGAGGTTTCTTCCCTGCGGTTCTCTGGCTGGTTTCTCTCCCCGGCTCTCCCTGTTTACCCGAGGGTCCCCCCTGACTCACCCCACATCTCCCAGAGGCCCGGGCCTGAGACACGGCACCCTTCGGTTTGCAGATCACTGCTGGGAAGTCCGGCGGGGGGGGCCTCCTGCACCCTGCCCCGAGGGCTTGCTAGGAGGCCAGCTCGGGTTGACAGGAGGACAGGAGGCTCCAGGAAATTCTGGGAGCCACTTGCTCACAGCCTCCCAGGAGGGGAACCCTGGGAAGCGCGCCGCTCAGCGGTTCTCCATTCCTGGAACTGCGCGCGGAAGCTGGAACTGGAGCGCAGGTTCTTTCCATCTCTCCGCCCTTCGTTCCGCCCAGCTCCCCGCCGCTGGCTTCCCGCCAGCTGGACCGCAGCGAGGCTCGCATACCAGTCCGAATCACGTGGTGAGGAGCCGGTCCCAGCCTTCCGGGTTTGGACTCTGGGTTGGGACCGGCAAGGCTGCGGTTGTCGGGTGGAAAGCGGACGCGAGGGTTTGGAGGACATTGCGCTCCAGGCTCCAGGGTGGGGGAAACTGAGGCCGCAAGAGGAGAGAACGGGACCTGACCCCGGGACCCTGGCCCTGGGCCCTTCTTCGTTTCTGCGGCAGGGCTGCCCAGAGCCCTGCGCATCCCAGCCGGGCAATGCCAAGCGCCCACACCCACCAGTGGTCTACGTCCTCATCGGGGGTGAGTGTCTCCCCACCCCTCCCGCGGAGGAGAGCTCCCAGGCTGGGCTGGGTGGTTTGCCCAAGGCTGCTTGGCAGCCTGCAGTCCTCCGGGAAACCTGGGTTTAACACGACCCCACTGCAAACCCAGGCTTCCCGGAGCAGTGCCGGGCTGCCAGGCTCCGCCCAAGGGAATACAGGCCACGCCCCTCCACCAACAGCCGGGGAACCGACTGGCTGCCTTCCAGGCTGCGATGTGCTGGGCGTGGTTCCTGTTGTCCTCGCTGGGAACTATCCTGGGAATCTTATCTCACCTGTGGCCTTCGGGAATGAAAGCAGGAGCCAGGCCCCCACAGCTGAGCCCCGGGTCTTCATACCCGGATGGACAGATCCAGGGAACAGCAGGGCTGCAGGGGTAGGTTCCCAATGACGGTGGAGTGAGAATTCTTTTGCAGTTTTAGGAGAGGCAGGGTTGGAGCCGGATAGCCTGCAAGGAGGACTCACTGGTCAAGGCCCAAAGACTGTCTGCGAGTGCCTCCCGGCTGGAAAGCAGCTCACTGCGATGTCCCGCCGAAGACTAGTCCTGAGCCTGGGGTTAATTGTGCTGGCCAGCACAGGCCTCTGGGCCCTGTGGTGAGTTCCCTCTGCAGCCCCTCTCTCCTACCCATGCGGGCCCCCTCTCTGGCCCTGTATGTCAACTCCAAAACCTTGATCCCTGCCACTACAGATTTCCAGGTCCTACCACTCTCTCCCAACTCCACTATCCCCCCAGCCCAGCCCCATGAATGAGTCTTAGCTTCTGAATTTTGCTTTGTACTGGCTTCTTGGCCTGTGCTTTGTAATTTCTTCTGCCTAGATTATCCCTCAAACCACATCTGGTCCATGATCCCCAAATTCACTCACCGTGCCCATGTGGGAAGGCCTTAGAGCTGTATCTCACCCTACTGTGTATGTCAGGGAAGGGGGTGGCATCAAGATCATGGGTGCCCCAAGAGTGAACAAGTGAATGGGGTCACTCCATGCCAGCCCTGTGCCATACGCAGGAGGCCTGGTTCTCTTAGCCAGACCCCAGGATGCAGATGCAACCCCCAAATGCACCACTGAGGGTGGTCATTCCCAGTAATGCGCTCCCCGTGGGTGTCGGCCCCTGGGACGGAAGGGAGTCAACAACTGTGCTTCCTTCCCAGGGTGTACATAGAGAACTGGCTGCCCGTCTCGCATGTGCCCTACTACCTCCCCTGTCCAGAGATCTTGTGAGTATGGGGCCAGGGGAATCGGGGCCCTGTGGGGTACTCACATCTCATATCAGCAGAGATCTTAAGATCAGGTTCAAAGCTTATGCAGTCGTGATGAGGTAGGGTACATCCGCCATTGTGGTCTCGGAGCCTCCTTGTAGCTCCCACACGGCTGGGCTTGGACCTGTCGCACAGCCCCAGTCTCCCTTGTTGCACCTGTGAAGTGGGAGGTCGGCGGCTCTTCCTGCAGCCGCTGGGAACATGGAGCCTGACCCATGGCCTGTGTTGCCCTGGAGCACTGACCGTAGGTGGTCAGTAGACAGTGCTTCCTTAGGTCTGGACTTTCGGGCTCCATTCTGTGTTCTCTGCAGATTCGGGGAGACAAATGAACATTTCACTAAAACCCTGCCCACTTGAAAATCTGACTTTTTAACAGCTAGGTATGAAAACATGGTTGGGACCATCTCAGAGGGCCATTTGGCAGCGCGGCCTTCTGTAGCTGGGGATGTTGGGAAATCCAGTACCAAACTGAAAGGAAGGTGCACCGAGGAGCTGGAAGGCCAACTATTTATTGCACCGATGGGTGGGCAGGAAGACCAGTTCCAAATCACCAGCCCCGAGTCAGTTTTGGGTTTAGTTTACACAAGATTTGCAAGCAGGAAGTACAAAAGCTGATAGCAGGGAATTATCTAATTGGTTACATGAGTCAAGTCACACATGGTCAGGCAGATTAGTTTTAGGCGGATTTATTTAAAAGGATTTGTTTATCATAAGGCAGGAAAGTTCTGGGAGCCGGTGTTGAGCAGAGCAGGGAGAGTTAAATGTGTCCCTACCTGGGCCAGTCTGTCCTAGGTAGACAGTCCTGGAAACATGTTGGAAAAACAGGATCCATTTTTAGGGGAGAAAGCAGACATTGTACTCAGGCTGACCTGCGGCAACCTATCTGTGAGAGGCAGCTGCACACAGACGGTCCAGGCTGACCACGTTTAGTAGTCTTGTGACTGCAGGAGGAGAACGCCCTGGCTCCGTGGAGCAGCAGGCTGCGAATTGATTTTTACATTTCTGCTCAGTTGCTATTACAGCGACAAGGAAAGGAGAGTGGGAACATCTGTATTGTTGCCAGACTACTAAAGAACACGGCTCATCTTACTTTTATAAATGTTTTAGTCCAGTTTCTGCTGCTAATAACACAAAAAGACTGGGTGTGTTACAAAGAAGAGCTTTAATTGGACTTACGATTCTGAGTGAGGGTTCCAGGGGCGGCATCTGATGGTGGCTTTCTATGGCAAGGCTAGGGTGTGGGGGCTCGTGCTGAGAGGGCAGCGTGCATGCGTGTGTGTGAGTGTCCGTCTTCTGCTCTCTTCCTCCTCTTGCAGAGCCACCAGGATTCAGTCCTGGGTGCTCCTTCCCGGTGACTGGATCTAATCCTGATCTCCCTGTAAGGCTCTACCTCGAAATACTGTTGTAGCTGGGCTTGGTGGCTTATACCCTGTAATCTCAGCACTCAGGAATGGTTCTTAAAAATAATAATACCCAGCACTTGGGAGGCTGAGGCAGGAGGACTGCCATGAGTTCGAGGCCAGCCTGGGCTACAAAGTGAGTTCAGGGTCAGCCTGAACTACAGAGCAAGACCCTGTCTCAAAAAAAAGTTAGGGATGGGGCTGGGGATTTAGCTCAGTGGCATAAGCACCTGCCTTGCAAGCAGGCAGTCGTGAGTTCGATCCCTGGTACTGATAAAAAAGAAAAGACAAAAAAAAAAAAAAAGCTAGGGATATAGCTCAGTGGCATTAGCACCTACCTGGCTAGTGCAAGGTCCTGAGTTCAATTCCTGTACCAAAAATAGCAATAATAATAATTAAACACAGTCATATTAAGTTTTCACTTGCTTACTACCTCACAGTGGGATTGAATTCCAGCCTGAGTATTGGAAGAGAATGAGTCATATTCAAGCCATCACAGTTAGGAAGATGGAAAACAGAAAAGAAAGAAGAATCTCTTGGGTCTCACCCACCTGTGTTATAGCCGCATCACTTCCGGTTTGCTGTGTTTTATAATCACCCTAGTTCTGGGCACCATGGTTCTAAAAACACTGCTTGGTACTGAAAATAGTTGGGATCATTCTGATTTTTGCACTTCATATCCTCTTGGCTGTTTTCAGCCTAGTCACCCTTACCTTATCCCACCTGGGGGCTGGGTCTTAATTCTTGAGTGCCTCAGCCTTTTCCACCAACAGCTGTTGAGCATTAAGCTTGTTTCCAATTTCTCTGTGTTCTACATGCATCTCTGATGAGCAGCTTCGGCCACCGCCCCTTCTCCACTTTGAAACTCATTTCTTTCTGATCTGCTCGCTCACGGGGCCAGAGGATGTGGACAGGCTCATGATCCATGGCGTGAGGAGGTTTACCAGAAGGACAGGAGCACCGGAAACATGCACATGTGCACACACCCAGCCCTGAGCAATGCCCAACAGGACCACCCCCATGTCCCACCTGAGTAATGCTGGGACAAGCTAGTGTTAGGAGAATCAAAAGTGAAACCACCCCTCAGAGCCCCGTCTGGTGGCACACACCTGTAAACCACAGCACTCAGGAGGCTGAAGCAGGAGGAGCGTCACAAGCTGGAGGCCAGCCTGGGCTACATGGTGAGTTCAAGGCCAGCCTGCACTGCATATCGAGACCCTGTCTCACAAAACCAACTACCCTGCTGAGGCCAGACAGGAAATGCTTCTTCTGGTTTTCATTTTTGATTACTGGAAAGCCCTCGTTTTCATGACTTCCCATTCATTGAATTTGCCTTTTGAAGAACTACATATTCAGCCGTTTTCTCTCTCTGTGGGTTCTCTATTGTCACTTCTGTTTTTCCTTTCAAGTTGTATGTCTTTGGGTTTTACCGAGTTACTATTTTTTAAGTAGATTGAAGTGGAAAACTTTTTGTTTGAAATGATCACTCCCTTTTCCTATAGATTTCTTCTTTTACCTTTCGTTTTATTAGCTTCAGGGGTTCAGGCATCTGAAGTGCTCTTGTGTGTACAGCTCTGTTGGGACTGGAGTCCAGAGCCAGTGTGTGCAGGGTGTGCCGTCCCGCCGAGCTGCACCCACAGCCCCACCCTTCTCATGCTCTGATCTGAATCTGTACCGCAGCTGGGGTGTGTCTGGCTTTGGAGAAGAGGAAGGAACTCGTCTTAGGAATGGGGTAAAAGGGCCACGGCTGCTGACGTCAAAGCACAGTTCCCCCTTTTTATGTCCAAGCACCTCCTGAGAATCCCATCACTTCCTGAGAGAAGCCCTCCAGCGGCTCTGTTTGTGAGAAATGCAGGCAGAAGTGCAATTTGATGAACTGATTCTGAAACACGACCCATTGGAGAGGAGACAGTAGCCACGACAGGACAAATACTGCAGGGTTCCCCTTATGCGAGGCACCTGCCTTCCCAGGCTTCTTGGAGGAAGAGTAGAGTGGTGGTTATTCCTCCTGGGGCAAGGGGTATGTCACCACACGAAACAGATCAGACTGAAGCAGCGGGGAGAATCAAAGGATGCTGAAGCTGTCCTCGTTGCTGGAGACCCATAGAGAATGGCAGACAACAGTGGCATCAGGAGATTGGTCCTTGGGACTGCCTGGTGACAGTCCACCTCCGGCTCCCCTGGCCCTAGCTATGCCATCCTGATGCTTGCTGGAGGGCCCTGGGCAGGGCTTTCCCTGATCTGGGGCATCAACATGGGTGGGTTTGTGGACAGAACTAAAGCTTGTGTCTAGCCCTACTCCCTCAGCCAGCTGGAGACAGAGCCAGCAGCAAGGCTCGGACCCTGCAGTCCTGCCACCCCCTTCCAGGAGTCCTCTGGGCTGTCTGACTTTTGTCAAATCCAGCAGATGCTGACCACGCAGGATGCTAGGATGCCTGGCCTCGTGGTGCACCTGCCAGGCGCTGGCACAGGCTGAGGCCCCTTCTCAGCTACCTTAGTTCTCCTGGCCACTCTGGGGTTATAGGTGGTTGTGTTTTACAGGTGAGGAGAGGCAAGTGTCTCAGTCAGGGCTACACTAGAGAAACCGAACTGGTAAGAGACAGACAGACAGACACAGAGGCACAGAATCATCAGGAGTGTTTGGCCTGTGTGATTGTCTTAGTTACTTTATGATCGTTGCTGAGACAAAATACCTGATGCCCAAGTTGGGAAAGGAAAGGTTTATTTCTTACAGTTTTTGGAGGTTTCAGTCCACACTCAGTTGGCTCCAAGACAGGCGGGCATGGCTGGACCGCAGTTCATGGCGGCCGCCCACAGCGAGCTCGAACCAGCAAAGAGCAAGACACACCTTCTTCCTGCCATTACATCACATCCTGGTTCTACCCCTATGTGGGTGGAGCACTGACACCATCAATCTAAGCACTATACAACAATGAACCATCACGAATGAACAATGCAAACTCATGAGGCCCGGGGGACACAAACATAAACCATGACAGTGATCCTAAGGACTGGCCAAGCAGACCTGCAGTGCCTCGGGCAAGCTGGAAGTCACAGCTGACGCTGCGTCTGTGGACAAGTTCCTGTTTCTGTAGGGAAACCCCAGCTCTGTCCTTGAGTCCTTTCAACTCATCTGCCCCAACTGTGTCCCAGGATAGTCTCCTTCATATAAATTCAACCTGAGCCAATCTCACCTACAGATGCCTTCACTGCAAGACCTGGACCTGTGTTTGAATGTTTGCTTGCTTGTCTGTTTGTTTGTTTGGAGACAGGGTCTTGCTATCTAGTTCAGGCTGGCCTTGAACTCACAATGTAGCCTAGGCTGACCTCAAACTAATGCCAGTCCTCTTGCCTCAGCCTCCCAAGTGCTAGGATTACAGGCGGGTGCCACTACACTGGGCTTGACTTGTGCTTGAGAAACCTGGCATTGCACCCTAGCCTAAGTGACACACGGCCCCAAAATCAATCAACTCGCCCCAGTCCCTGGGCCTTTGAGGGTCTCAGTCCTGCCCAGTGCCCGGCACATACAAAGCTGAACCCAGCGTCAGCTTGGGGCCAGGTGGCACAGGGTTTGATCACTGCCCTTGCTCCTGTGTGACCCTGAACAGACCAGGCTGCAGGAACCCCCAGCCCATCTCGGAAAGGGCAGGGATCTGCCTGGGCCCCGTTCCTGCTGCCCGGCTCTGATGACCCTTCTTGCCTCCATCACCAGCAACATGAAGCTGCAGTACAAAGGGGAGAAGCCGCTGCCGCCAGTGACCCAGTAAGCACATTGTCACTGCCCGCTTGGTGGCCTGGGGGCGGGAGGGGGACCCACACCATCCCTCATGCCTTCCCTTCTCGGTTACAGGGCCCAATACCCTCAGCCCAGGCTGACACAGCACAGGTAAGCCTCACAAGGACCTGGTGGGGCCTGGGGAAGGGTTAGGACTGGGGTTAGAGCCTGACCGGTACAACCATGGCAGTGGCCAGAGTCAGGGTGGCCTTTGGACCCCCACTCGGGCAGCTGGGCTCCAGCTGTCACGAGCATGGCCAGGTGAGCCATCTGCTCTGACCTTTTTCTGCACCACACAGGAGGCTTGGAGAGCAAAGTGGCATTTTAGGGTAACATAGGCCCCAGGCCTCAGTTCACACCTGTCACCACCCATGATGCAGTGTTTCACACTTACCGCCAACCCCAGCTTGCACAGAGACTGCCAGTGTCCCCACACCAACCCTGTGCCCACCCAGCCCTGCCAGGTGGCTGCTGCCATCCCATCTTCCCTTGGGGAAGCCCAGACCCTGCAGCAGCATCATGTAGGGCAGCCCAGGTGTGCTCACCACACTGGCTTTTCCCCTGCCGCCAGGCCCACGGAGCTCCTGACACTCACGCCCTGGTTGGCACCCATCGTCTCCGAGGGAACCTTTGACCCAGAACTGCTGCAGCACATCTACCAGCCGCTGAACCTGAGCATCGGCGTCACGGTGTTTGCCGTGGGCAAGTGAGTGGGCTGGGCGGGAGTGGGCCTGAGCCGCAGGGGCTCACAGGCCAGGGGAGACATGGGCTCTGATCAGGGGCTGAGGGACAGGAGGCGCGAAGGATGGGCTCCCTGGAGAAGGGGCCGGCCCAGGACACAAGCAGAGGCCGAAGCTGCCCAGGTGAGAGGCAGCGGGACCTGATCCAGGTGACCCCTGGGCCTGGGGGTGCAGCCGTGTCATGCACCTCTGCTTCATGCCCCGACATCCAGCACCCACCCTCCCTGGATTCTGCCACCTACTTCTCAGCTCCTCTCTTCCCCTTGGTTCTCAATGTCCTGCCTCCACAACGGGCAAGCTTCTAGGTAGCTTAGGAAACCAGAGCTCCTGAGAATCCCTGAAAACACAGCCCAGTCTCGATGAGAACCAGTACTGTTTATGACTGCAGGAATCACCAGGCTGGCACCACTGGTCCACGTCTGAAATCCCAGCTCCTGAGCCGGGCGTGGTGGCTCATACTGCAATCCCAGCACTCGGGAGGCTGAAGTGGGAGGATCATTGCAAGTTTGAGACTAGCCTGGGCTACAAAGTAAGCTCAAGGCCAGCCTGAACTGCAAAGAGAGACCCTGTCTTAAAAAGACTAAAAAAAATAACGAAATCCCAGCTCCTAAGGCAAGAGGATTGCAAGTTCAAGGCTAATTTGGGCAACTTAGGGAGAGGGTCTCAAAACAAAAACAAGGACTGGGGGTGGTAGAGCGGCCCTAGGTTCCACCCCTCAAAAAGAAAGGGAGGGAGGAAGAGAGGGAGGAAGGAAGGGAAAAGAGAAAGAAAGAGGAGAAGGAGAAAGAGAAGGAAGGAAACTGCCCTGGGGTCACCCTCCCAGCAGTCCTCCGGGGTCAGTACAGGTTAAATAGCATCTTGATCGGAAATGCCTGGGACCAGAAGCATTTCAGATTCAGAAGTTTTCAAATTATGTAAATCCGAAGACTTCACCAGCTCAGCATCCCTAATCCTAGAATCTGAAGTTGGATTTTCAGATGAGCCACTTGAGCCTGGGCTAGGATTATGGGAGTTTGAAAAACAGAGACCCCAGTGGCTTCTTGCAGTGCTGCCCCGGCCAGCCCTGGGCCCCAGGGTGGACCAGCACTCAGTGGATGCCAGGCAGCACCCCTCCTGGGTAGCCCTGGGTGACGAGGTTATGGCCACAGGTACACCCGGTTCGTGCAGCACTTCCTGGAGTCGGCGGAGGAGTTCTTCATGCGCGGCTTCCAGGTGCACTACTATGTCTTCACCCACGACCCCGCAGCCATTCCCAGGGTCCTGCTCGGCCCCCGTCGGCTCCTGGACATCATCCCCATCCACGGCTATACCCACTGGGAGGAGATCAGCATGCGCCGGATGGAGGCCATCAGCCGGCACATCGCCAAGAAGGCGCACCAGGAGGTGGACTATCTCTTCTGCCTTGACGTGGACATGGTGTTCCACAACCCGTGGGGCCCCGAGACCTTGGGGGACCTGGTGGCTGCCATTCACCCAGGCTATTTCACTGTCTCCCGCCGCCAGTTCCCTTATGAGCGCAGGCAGATTTCCACGGCCTTTGTAGCTGAAAACGAAGGGGACTTCTATTATGGTGGGGCAGTCTTCGGGGGTCGAGTGGCCAACGTGTACGAGTTTACCAGGGGCTGCCACATGGCCATCCTGGCGGACAAAGCCAACGGCATTATGGCGGCCTGGCAGGAGGAAAGCCACCTGAACCGCCGTCTCATCACGCACAAGCCGTCCAAGGTGCTGTCTCCCGAGTACCTCTGGGATGACAGGAAGCCGGTGCCATCCAGCCTGAAGCTGATCCGCTTTTCCACATTGCTCAAGGACACCAACTGGCTGAGGAGCTGACAGCAGAGCCTGGGCCACCCAGCCCCCAGCCTGGTCTAAGCTTTAGGTGGGGACCAGCCCCATCCCGCCTACCTCTGTCTGTTTCAGGAGTCCAGCAGGAGAAAGGGCACGGAGAGGTGGCTGTCAGCTGGAAAGGGCTGCACACCCACACCGACACCCACATGGTGATCTGGCAGAAGATGACTGGCCAGGAGGAGGAGATGTGAGGGTATAAAAGCCGGGGCCTGGCATGCTTCCCCGGCCAGGACACCTGCCTCCAGGGGTAGCGCTAGAGGCCCAGCCCTACTCAAAGTGCCTGAGGCCCTGCTGCTGCCCCCTTTGTGGCACAGTTGACTTGAAAATGCACTCAGACCCCTGTACGGACAGCGGCCAGGACCCCTTGTCTCTGGCTGCAGCGGTTCTGGCTATTGTGATGGTGCTCAGCCACAGATCTGCCAGACAGCCAGTCCTGCCCTCATGAGGACCCAGGGCCAGCCTCTGGCATGGACCTAGCCTCGAGTAGGAGTCCAGATGCCTCCTTCATGCTTGACAGTGTTTGAGGTGGTTTTCAATAAAAGTGGTGTAGGCAACGGGGATGGTGTAGGCAATGGCTTCTGGGGATACAGGCAGGCTGGATCGCCCCCAAAATCACCCTCGGGGTGGGAGGGGTACGGCATCCCTGAAAGTCTAAGCTAAAGCTGCCTGCTGCTGCAGACCAGAACTGCCCAGCTCCTTGCCATGGAAAGGAGTCCTGGCTCTGCAGGGACCTGGATAAAATGGGAGCTGTACCCCGCCTGGGCACAGGGCAGCAGGGCCACACCGCGCACCTCCTGGCTCAGTCCCTGGTGCACAGGAAATGCATCTGATTCTGGGGTCACTTCAGCCCCAAGAAGCCATGGGGAGCCGGGGAGAGATGGGGTGTGGCGCGGGTGGAGGCCTCATGTCCAGTAGCAGCATCTTTCCCACAGAAGGAGGAGGCAGGGGAAGATTCTATGGTCACACAGGGTTAGCTGGGAGCAGCCTGAGCCCACTCTTCTCACAGCTTTCGGCTTAGCAGGGAAGCAGGGAGCCATCCCCAAAATGACATCCCCTTGGAGTCATGGGGCAAGGACACAGCGTGAGCTGGAGAGGAGCAGAGTCCCAAAGAGGCAAAAATGGCCCATGACCTGTGTCCCCCAGAGGCAGCACCTGCCCAGGGCTCTTGGCCACCGCTCAAAATGGGGGTGGAGGTCTGGGACCCAGGGCTGGGTTGCAGGAGCAGCCCTGCCTGCAGAGAGCTCCTGCTCAGGTGCAAGGAGCCTCTTAGACGTGGAGACAAGGCAAAGCCCAGGGGCCTGGGCAGTGTCAGCCCATAGGGGCGGCCGCCAGGTTCCTACTCCCTACCTGGCTCTGGGGCTTTGCCCAGCGTGGTGGGTCTCAGCTCCTGGACACAGTGGCTAATTGGAGACCCCATACCAGGGCACAGTCCTTGGACACCAGCCACGTGAGTGATGGGTGGAAGCCAGCTGCTGAAACCAAACCACCCAGCACCCGCCTTGCTCTCCCTCCTGACAGGCACACGAGGGCCTGAGCCAGAGACACTCCTTGGGGGAAAGAAGTACTGGGCCTGGCCCAGGAGAGGAAGATGACCCAGGGACATGGCCCAGTGGGGAGCCCTCTGCGTAAGGCAGGATTCAGTTTCCTCGTGTAAACACAGGCAACCTTGCCCGAGCAGATCAAAGTTTGATGGCACTGAAGCTTCTTAAATTGCAGGGGTGCCCTTCAAGAAACAGGGGTAATTACAAATCCCTGCAGTGCCCCTGCCAGGGAGCGCCCAAAGCCTGAACTTCCTGTCTCTGCCAATCCAACGCCCTCATCACCCACTATGTCCGGCACCACAATGGTGTGGCCTGCCTGTCTGTCTTACCACCAGACCAGTTCTCTGGGAATCCCTCCTGCTGCACCTCCTGGAAGCCTTCCAGGTGGTTGCCCCTGTGCCATCCCATGGGTCTTCCCATGGACAACCCGCCTCACCCATGCCATCACTGTCCGCCATTTCCATGCTGCCCCCAGGTAGGCAGCTCCAGGAATGCGCTGATCGCCCACAGCTAGCTGAGCGCTTCTGCTACCCGGCACCCCAATGCAGTCTGTGGGTGTTCACTGAATGTCTGGGTGAGAGGCAGCTGGGAGAACACAGGTTGGGGAGCCTGTCCTGGTGCGCTGGGATGCCAGGTGGGTCACACCACATCCCTGTCCCCAATGGTGAGGGTTAAATGTGATTACAGCTGGGGGAGCTGTGGGCACCTCCTGCTGAGCAGCTGTTGTGACTCTGATGTACTGGAGGCCTGGGCAGCAAGCTTTGCCCAGCAGAAGGCAGAGGGCACGTCTCCAATGGCCCTCACAGCACATAGGAGGACGCTGGGGCAGGAGCCTGGGGTCCATGCCTGGAGGGACAAGGCATCCACTCAGCCGCCCCAGTTCTGAGAAGGCCATTTGGATGGGGCACTGTCTGCAGTGGGGATGAATGAGGAGGACAGGGACAAATCTAAGTCCTCGTGCAGAGCTAGGTGTGGTCACTTAAGAGCTGAGAGACCTTGAGGGTAGGTGCTGCCCCTCGGGTATAAAATGAGCTTTCAAGCTGGACGTGGTGGGGCAGGCTTGCAATCCCAGCCCTTGGGAGGCTGTGACAGAAGGATCGCTGGGAGTTCCAGACCAGCCAGGGAGCTCAAGGCCAGCCTGCACTGCATAGAGACCCTGTCGCAAAGAGAAACAGAAAATGAGCTTTGACCCCTGACCACTGGAGGGCTCCCTAATAACCCTAACCCCAGCACCTGTTCAGCCCGGGCTGCAGGGTCTCTTCTTCCACCCTTCCACTTGTCGTACCCAGCCAGAAACGGACAGACACACCTGGTGACACAGAAGAGAGGAATGAGGGGGCAGATGGAAGGGAGGGGCCGCCTAACCCCAGCCACCCACCGAGTGAAGTCTTGTAGGTGGACTGGGCCACCTGCGAGCAACAGGCTGAGGGTGTGTATTTGGTGGCTGTCTCCGGGCTCCCCCCATATCCACCCAGTCTGGTGGTCCCCACCTGGCAAAGGTGACGAGGATTCTAGGTGCCACAGCGGTGGAGTACAAAGTACGGGCAGCCGGATAGAAGGACAAACGAGATCAGCCTCGCAGGACCGTGGCGCGTAACGCGCGCGCACCCCTCCAGCAGGGCGGGGTCACGTGAGCGCGCCGCCGGCGGTGCCGCGCAGGCTCCGCGCGCGCGCCGGACCGTGTGCACGAGGCCGACTCCCGCGTGAGGTCCGGGCGCGAGCGCCCGGGGTGAGAGGCCGAGCACGCCCCCGAGCTCCCCGACGGGGCCGCGCCTCGCACCTGCGGGCGGCCGGGGCGGAGCCGGGGCGGGGCCGCGCTGTCCCCGCCCACCCGGCCTGAGAGCCCCGGAGCCCGCCGAACCCAGCGCCGGGCCGAGCGGCCGGGTCCGCACCGCAGCGCACCGCGGCGGGCGCAGACAATGGGAGCGGCGCCGGCCGCGGCGGAGACCCGGGCCCCAGGCGGACGCGAGGCCGCGCCATGAGCTCCGCCGCCGGGCGCCCCCCTGCGCCGCGCGCGGGCCGAGGCGAGCGGCCTCTGCGACCCCGGGCCCCGCCCTGGGGCCGGCGATGAACAGCCGAGGCCGAGGATGATGGTAGATTGCCAGGTAGGTCCCGGCCGGCCACGGCGGGCCCACGCGCTCCCGCCCACGCCCCACCCCCGCGGAGCAGCCGGCGCCGCGTCCACGCAGAGCGTGCGCTTACGCAGTTCCCGTCCACCACCGCCACCACCCTCTCCGTACAGTCGGGAAACTGAGGTCAGCAAAGACACTGGCCCGGGGGTATGCCAGGTAGGCAGGACCCAGCGGAGGAGGACAGGATCTGGCCTCCTGGGCCGAAGCTCCACCCTCCCGTAGGATTGCTTTGAAAACGATTTGCTTTGAAATCTGGAGGACCCCTGCCCACCCACCCCGTGCAGGGCCCTCTCCTCTGGTCACCTCCACGCAGACACAGGCGCGCGCGTACACAGCTGTTCACCCCACACGGGTTTCCTAGGAATCAGAGGAGGGCGTGACACGAGGGAGGTAACAAGGAGAAAGAAGGAAGAGGCTGGAACCTGCTCTGTCTTGGGGCTGGGGCATCCAGCCTCCTGGCAACACGCCTCGCCCTTTGAGGGGGGATGCGCCAGGCAGACGAGCAGAAGGGTGCCCAAAATTCCCAGGGTCAACTGGCAGGGGCTGACCTCAGGGCAGCCTGGAAAGGACATGGCTTTGGTCCACCACTCCGGGCGTCTAAAACGAGGACAAAGCATGTCTTCCTCGTGCCGAGAGTGCTACAGGAGAGAAAGCTTCAGTTCCTCTGCAAGGCGAGGGTGCTTGGCCTCGTGACCCCAAGAGTCCCACAGGCTTACAGTGTTTTCCATTGGTGATCTGCTGCCCACCAGGGGCCTCAGAAGATGCTTTCTCCTCCCTGAGCAGATAGCAGCCTGGGGGCCTGGGGACCCGGGTCGAGTGGAGTGCAGGCGGCCTGGACCACTTGTCTTCATTTAGAAGTGGGTCCAGGGTCATTGTCTTGACTGGGGTAATGAGATCTCCGAGTGAACCGGACACCCCAGGGCCTGCAGATGGAAGGAACGGAACAACTGAGGTTTCTGGGGTCCCTGCAGGACTCAGGGAACCTGTAGATCCTGCTCCTTTTCCTCCCCAGGGCCTGGGCAAGGAGCTTCCTTGACAACAGCCAAACAAAGGTGTGTGTTTTGTTTTGTGGGTTTCTTGCCTCGGGCTGCAGTGCTACTACTGGCCACCGGGGGGCAGCAGTGTCACCATGCCTGGAGTCAGGCCAGAGCTCCAGGGTCAGGCCGAGTGCACCCTGCCTGTCTCCCAGCTGGACCTCCCACTGGGAACATCTCTGTCCTGAGGACTGCTCAGGGGTGGGTCTCCCTGAGGGCAGGGGCTGCTTTCGAGCTGAACCGGTCCAGCCACTGCTGTGTGATTCTTGGGCTCCCCTCTGACAGCCAGACACGGGTGAGGTCAGTTTCTGTGTACCTGTGCCTGGGCCAGCTCAGCCTGGGGCCTCTGCCTGGCATCTCTGGCAGGCATGACTTGCAGCTGCAGGGTGCAGCTCATTCCTGTGTCACTGGCGGGACCTGGTTTGGAAAGAAGGCCACGGATCCCCTGTGTCTGTTGCCCAGACCCTTCTGGAGGCTCCTTGCCACGTGAGTCCCTCGGAGTGACCCAGTATCGGCACAGGTTCCCCTCCAAGGAGGGCCCGTGGGCAGCATGCAGGAGAAAGCAGCAAGACCCAGGGTACACTGTGTGTCCCTCCAGTCTCGGCAGTAAGCTCCCCTCACTGTGCTCTGTCCTGCTGGTTAGAGGCCAGTCCCAAGATCCTGGGGGAACAGATCACTCTCCAAGACCATGTACAGGAGGCGGGGATCCCCACGGTGGCTTGATTCTGAACTTCATGGGAAGCGCCGCCCACCGAGAGGTTTGTGACAGAGAGTGACAATTCTTGTTTTTGCTCACTTTGCAACCCTCTCATGGTGCAGACTAGGAACCCAACCAAGAGAGGGAGAACTTTCTCTGAAGCCTGGCACTGGAGCCTGATTCCAGTTGTATTGTTGGCTGAGCCCCACTGCTTCTTGGAATTCTCCTCCTACGCTAGGTTTCCACGATAGCCCGAGAGCCTCAAATCACTAGCTTTATAGGTGGCTCTCACAGATAGTAGGATGACCTGCCTTGTGCATGTAGGGGCAGAGCGGGCCCTGAAAGGCACAGTGACTGGTCCAGATCCCAGCACTGGTTGGAGAGGAGCCAGGTGGCCCCATGAGTGTCTCTGTCTCCGGAGCCTCAGGGGCTGGACACGCGCAGTGGTCATCACTGTCCCAGCACCCAGGGAAGCTCTTGCCTTGGGCAGCCTCTGCTCACTGTGATCTCTTCCCAGTTTCCTGCCACCACCCCGCCACCACCACACTGCTGTCCCTGAATGGTTCTCATCCAGCAAGGGGGGAATCTCTTGTCTGGTTGGTTCTTTGCTGGGCCCAGGCCACGCCAGAGGAGGCAGAGCAGATGATGATCCTGGAGGCTGTTGCAGGAAGGGTGGCAGTGTTTGTCCTGGAGTGGTGCCAGAAGGAGGTCCCGGGGTCGGGTTCATGCAGGGAGAGGAGGTGTAAGGATGAACACTGAGGGATGATGGGGTGACCCTGGCCTGGCATCTATCGTGTTAGGGTCCTCAGGCTCCTGTCTTCTTTCGCTGCTGCCGAAGTCTAAAATCCAGGTGGCCCAGGGCCGTGCCTACAAACACATGGCCCCAGACTCTGCCCCTGGGTGTCTGTGTCCACCTGTCCCTGTTAACACTAGGACACCAGTTGTCGCCCTAGGGTCCAGTGCTGATCCAGTAGAGATCACACTGATTCGGTTGGCAAAGACCTTACTTCTAAGTAAGTGCTCGTTCAAAGGGATCTTTCCAGGGAACGTGATTTAACCCATGATGGGGGTGTCAAGAAAGATTTGCTCTCCGAAAGCCAGGTGCCTGTGGGATCCTGGGGAGCAGTGGGATGAGGACGTGGCAGGAACTTAGCCCCTGGTTAGACAGCGAGGGCCTTAAATGTGGCCTGCTCCCAGGCTTGGCAATTCTAGCACCAGCAGGTGGTGCTGTGACCTGTGGTTTGGTGGCTGTGGTGACCATGTCACCCTCTAGTTGCTAGGAGAAGATGCTTGCCTAGCTGTAAACAGCCCAGGAGCACAGTCATTTCACAGGTGACACACCGAGGAAATCAAACCCCAAACCCCAGCCGACCACAGGGGCGTGGGTAGTGGGGCGTGGTGGGCGGCTGCTGGGGAGGCTGGCCAGGGGCCCTTTCATCCCCGCCCCCCAAGCAGAGCTGGCCCTTCTCAGCCCTCCAGAGGCCTGCATCAAGAGTCCAACTCGGTCTCCAGACACCTGCCATTAGTACAGGACAGCAGCGGGCCTCCCGTGGACAGCAGTGAGAGGGGCAGAGTGCCCAGGGGCAGAGGTCGTTTTGCCCTGCCACTCCCTCTGCTCCTGCACGGTTGAGCTGGTGGAAGGGGCTGTGTGGGGCCCACACTGCCCCTTCCACCAGCTCAGCCTGGGCCCTGGCCATTGGGGTTTGACCATGGCTGCTGATGACCCACATGGCCTTGGTGCACCGGCTCTGCTGAGTGCCCACCGGGGCCTCTGTCCCAGGGATGAGGCAGAGGGTCAGTGCAGGCCCAGGGCTGCAGTTTAAGACTGACAGTGCGATCTAGGAGAGGCATGAGAGGAGCTGCGTCCTGCAGGGTCTCCTCGGGCCACGCTCACACCTCTTCTAGGCTGTGGAAGTTTCCAGTCATCACTGCCCTATCCTTGTGCCTGGCCCTGAGCCGTGGCGCCCCCTTGTGCCTGCCCCACGCTCTGCCACGGAGACTCCCACGGGCAGGCCGTGGCAAGTCTAAGGGATGCATCTGCACCACCACCACCCCCACCCCGTTTGCAGACAAGCCCAGGAGGGGCCAGGCGCCAGGGCTGGGACCAAACTCCTGCCAATTATAGTGGGCGGGGCTGAAGGCCCCCCACATCGCGGTTACCAGCCAGCCAACAGTGGAGATGCCACAAAGCGGTAACCCTCTCATCTTCTCCCTGCCCTAATGAAGGCCTTGGGCTGTGCGCTCTGCATTTTCTGGAGGTTCTCGAGTTGTGAGCCTCGGGGTTTTCAGCCTCCCTTCTCTGGAGTTGGAGGGGCTCCCAGGGCAGGCAGCAGGCAGCAGAGCCAGGGTAGGGAAGTGAAAAGGAAAGGGACCGGGGGCTGGGGATTTAGCTCAGCGGCATAAGCACCTGCCTTGCAAGCAGGCAGTCATGAGTTCGATCCCCGGTACCGATAAAAAGGAAAAAAAAAAAAGCAAAGAGACCAGCAGCCCTGTGGCATTCCCCTAAAAATGACAAGCCCTTGAGGAAGGGTGAGTTCCTATGGCACCTAGACCCGTTGCTTGGCAACTGCAGGCCCCCAAAATACTCATAGGCAGGAAGGCTCAGGGTTAGGGGCTTTCCGACAACCTGTACTGGTTGGGTTTGGACTGACTTCTCACGACTGCTTCACCCCACCGCACCCCCAGCAGGACCAGGCAGGCCCCCACCCCTGGATCCTTCCTGAGGGAAACCCCAGTACACACTCCTCTCCCCATCACTGCGCCCTCCCAGCTGCCTGGTACTGGGCCAGTTCCCTAGTCCACTTCCTGGATACCTGAGTGACAGTTGACAGTGGTGGTGTCGGACGATTGGG